CTTCGTCGAATCCGCCGGCCGTGCCGTTCTCAAGCCCACCGGCCGCCGCTCACTTAAGCCGGCCTCCGCTCGTTCAAGGCCGCGGTGTGTGATGCTGTGTGTTTCGTTGTGAAAGCGAAACTACTTTGTACTAGATGCTGACTGTCATGGTACCATGACCTAAAAATGTTAACGTAAAATGCAATATACACTATATTTGTGGTATATAATCTACAGTTTGAAGCAAAGTAACCTTTAAAAGTCCATACAAAGCATCCACAATGTTCTGAAAAGATAAAAATAGAAAAAGGTGCTGATATCTCTGACACTCATTTCGTGTTTAAGGGTCCTTGCTGTCTCTCTCGCTTGTCAGCTCCTGTGCAGAAGCCGCACAGCATTATTATCTCACACTGTGGCATTTAGAGCAGCATGTCAAACTCAAACATTCTGTCTGATTGATGTTCTGTAGGTGTGATGTATAGTATCCATCACTCAACAGTATGAACAATCATTTCTCGAGTTTACTGATGAAAGAGGCCTCTCTTCGACATGGAGATTCCTGCAAGACGATTGTTAAATTTGGCCTCAACATGCATCACCCTGTCATACAAAAGTTTAAAGCAACTGTATGTAGTTTTGTGGATTTTTGCGACTTTGGAGCCCCTTACAGTGAAGTACTTGGAATTTACTGTTGTGAATAATACTGTTGTAACTACAGTGGGTAGCTGTACATGTGCATTTGTTGCTACCATAAAGCAATTTGTCATTTTTGTGAAATTTAATATAAAAATATAATATAAAAAAACACTTATATAGCTTCAACCTTACTGTTAAAAAAAAGCAGATCGCACAACACCATCATACTGTCCATGTCATATTTCAAAAGAGACACCATTAAACAAGTAAATATTTGTAAAATGGCATCTTTCTACCAAGTAAAAGCCAATATCACTGATAAATAATTTAAAATTATAAGATAAATTTAGTAATTATAAATAAATAAACAAATAAATGAACAAACAAACAAATAATAATAAAATATTATATTTAATATTTTGTATATATATGTTAAAGGGGTCATATGATGCGATTTCAATTTTTTCTTTCTCTTTGCGCCATACGCTCCTTCGTCGAATCCGCCGGCCGTGCCGTTCTCAAGCCCACCGGCCGCCGCTCACTTAAGCCGGCCTCCGCTCGTTCAAGGCCGCGGTGTGTGATGCTGTGTGTTTCGTTGTGAAAGCGAAACTACTTTGTTTGGTCTTCCAAAAGAGGACACGACTAGAAATCAGTGGTTAAGTTGTATTTACAACACTGTTCCAGAACACTTCAACCCTAATATTCAGATGTGTGCAGCACATTTTATGGAGGACTGTTTCCTGATCATGGTAGAGTAGACTACAATGCCAGCTGTTCTGACTCACAGATTGTAAGTACGATTTTTATATTTAAAGAATTTGCCACTGACAATTCAAATGCGAGTTTTGAGCAGTGTAGAGTAGCACTTGTAGTTTGTCATTTCTCTGATCACAAATGATGACATGGTTTTATGTTTACACGGCGCGATGCAACGCAACACATAAAAAGACAGTATAAGTTATTATAATCAGTAATTATGTCCCCACTGGATGCAACAAATGTCTCATTTATAATGGGTTTTAATGTTTTTGTCTCGTCGCTCTGGGCAGACAGGGCATCACAGTATGGTAAGGGGTGTAACATTTCCGTCACACGCTTGAAGTATTCGGCCAATCACAACGCACTGGATAGCTGGCCAATCAAAAAAAATCTTCGTAAAAATCTACGCATTTCAGAAAGGAGGGGCATAAAGGAGAAACAATAATGTACAGTATCTGGAAAATAATGTTTTTGAACCTTAAACCGCATAAACACATTTCATTACACCAAATACACAAAATAATGTTCTTTTTAGCAGCATCATATGACCAATTTAATGTGTATTAAAAAATATAAATTTTTGTGCATTCTGGTATTATTAATTATAAACAAATAAATAAATGAACAAACAAACAAATAATAATTATTTAAATGTTTTGTATCGACTTGTAAAATTGTATTAAAAAATACACATTTTTGTGCATTAAGCATTTTTATTTTACCGTCATTATCTATAATCGCTGTTCTTTTTCTGAGAGTGAAATAAAGAACACACACAAATCCATCACAAGAAAAACATCCCCGAATGTATTACCATAATGAAAATCTGGATGTAAAATGTGTCTAATTGTCATGGAATAATAAAACAAACAAACACATACATAAATACATACATGCATAAATATTCACCCAAGACTGTCTGTGATTGTGCCGTGTGCTGTTAATGCTATATTATTAGAGTTCAGGTGGTTTAGCAGCTGACATACCACCGTTCACAAGACAAAAACGAGAGTTTAAATGAGTTTAATGCCCTCTATTTAATGAAATGACTGATATAGAAAAAATTTTTGAGTTAGTAACATTGCTTCAAAGAGCATTGAGACCACATTTCAGCTGGTTTGTCCCTGAACTTGACAGAGGCATTAAACAATTACATGCAGGTTTAGAGGACTGAATGGTGCCAACATCCTTTTAAAGCCGGGAGCGGAATGTTGACTGAGAAATGCCAGCGATGCACTGAACGCAAGGTGCAGCGTCAGATTACTGTGGCCTGAGCCAAGCCAAAGCACTGGCTTCAACGCTTGCACCAGCAACAGCTAGTTTCCCCTGTAATGAGAGCCTTACGGCAACTACAGCTGCAGTACCTGCACAGCATGATGGATGCCCCTCAAACACAGACACTCACACACATCATAGACTTATATTGAGCTAATATAAGGTTGCTCTCATAAAGGCACATGAAAGAAAAGACAAGCTTCTCTCATAAGATTTTCTCATAATGGTTTTTATGTGAACCCATTTAAAAAAAAAAAACTTTGATAACTTAATAGTCCTTTAGACTGGGATCTGAGGGTGAGTACTGGAGAGTAAATTGGTTGTAATGGAATGTTATGGATATATGAATGTCAAGCCCATGATCTAGACTAGAGCAATGGAAATACATTATGTCCAGTGTTGGGGAAAGTTACTTTTAAAAGTAATGCATTACAATATTGCGTTACTCCCTAAAAAAGTAACTAATTACGTTACTTAGTTACTTTTTATGGAAAGTACTGCATTATATAACTTTTGCGTTACTTTTTAAATATAAGCAGGGCTTGATTGTTTTTAATATAAGTTCTATTTATAGCAAATATAAAAGCCCTTTCACACCAAAAAGTGTAATGAATAAACCGCAGGCTGAAGCAAAAGTAAATTCACGTCTGTAGAGTAGAACGCAGGAGAAGAAATACTCTTCAGCAATAACAAAACAAAGCACAATTGTTCGTTTCTCTAAAGTCATTTTTGCTTATTAGTATGGTTGAACTGGATCATCAAAGGTCAGCAGCAAAGACATTGGTTAATAAAATGCGATTAGATACATTTGTGTTATTTAACATATTTAATTATTGCAAGTTTGCGTCATATTCTGAGTTTGCATTTCACTGTTTTAATTCATTTTGATGAATACTAAATCTGTTTTTTTGTGAGTGGGATGAATTAATACACATTCACATTTAGTCTAGAACAATATCATGTTCACACAGCGCACACAACTCCTCTGTACTCCCGATTTCTCCCAATATGGGGACAGGAGAGTTGTCAGTCAATAAATGGGAAAACAAAGTAACTGGCATTACTTTTTTGAAAAAGTAACTCAGATATTTTCTTGCAAATTAAAAAAGTAATGCGTTACTTTACTAGTTACTTGAAAAAAGTAATCTGATTACGTAACTCACATTACTTGTAATGAGTTACCCCCAACACTGATTATGTCACCTGCTGATGTCATATGTGAGCATGTTTCTTGTTATTAGTCGTCATATCTGCTTCAGGGAAAGCATATGAGGAGCAAACGCCTCAAAACAGCTCCGGTATCTTTCTTATGTCAGGGTTCGAATATGTCCAGGTTGTAATATTTAGGTAACATGACACTAGAACATTTTATTTTGTCACTAGAGGGTACTGTTGTAAACGGTTGTTTATTATGAACTTAAAATGACTATAAAATATTGAATATTATTGGATTTTTTTTAGCTTCCTCATCTCCTGATAATGAACATAAGCACTGTCTAATGCATGCAACTAGTGAATATCATTAACAATCCAAGGTTTTAGAATGGGACAGTGAAATAAAAATGATTACATCCTTGTTATGTTTCAAGTTTAGTTTGATAGATTTGAGTGTAAAGCAAGATTTATATATTTTATAAGATATATTTTGTTGTTAATATTAAATATTGTTATAAATGATACTATATATTGTTTATATTAACTTGCAGTGGTAAACTAATTATTTATATATTTATCCTCCTGAGAACCAGAAATAAAAAGCTTTGTGAATTTAGTATTTTTTCATGTCATTACATTGTTTAGAGCATAAGAAAAAAATAGTAAAATAACATTTTTGAAAAATTATATTGTATTCATAAGTTATGCTATGTCCTCTGTAGAGGACACCAGGACTCAGTTTTTATAAAAATAAAATGACAAGAATAGACATGAAAAGGCAAAACAATGGGAATTTTTTTAAAATCACCAATCAATTTTTAGGTTTCAGGATTTTTTTATACCTAACTTTGTTTAAGGATGGTTCAATCTCAACTATGTTATAAAATATATAACAAAATGATTTGATATACCATTTTGCTTTATGAAATATGAGTGTAAAAATTCCATAAACTGGTTTCCCCATTAAGCACAATGTTATCTAGGAACTGGAACAAGCTGTCGTATACACCGATCCAGAGCATCCCAAACATGCTCAATGGGTGACATGTCCGGTGAGTATGCCGGCCATGCAAGAACTGGGATGTTTTCAGCTTTTGTGTACATAGAAAAAGTCTTAGATCTTTGAGTTCAGCTCATGAAAAAATGGGGGCAAAAACAAAAGTGTTGCGTTTATAATTTTGTTCAGTGTATATATACAGTATATATATATATATTATTATTAACTTCCAAAGCACAATTTGAGAATATTCGAAGACTCATGATCGAAAGAGTTAACGTTAAACGTCAGTGGGAGGAGAAAACAGGAAGTGGCCAAACCCTTAAACACAGTCCGATAACTTCACAAAAATACACACGCACCCTTGCGGAACATGACGGGTGTAACTCTCGGCTCCTCTTCATGATCGAGGTGTATGTGAACCAGACTGTCTGTCGATCATCCTAGAATCTTCAGCATCTTCATTCTCAGATGCGCGTGTGATAATCACTGCGGTGGACACGAGTGCAGTGAGCGGTGAGCTGAGTTCATAACTGCGTCTCAAAACATATCGTGCCCCACCTACTGTAGATTCGGGACTATTTAAAGTCGTCATTCGCCTTCCGATTTTGGGGCGCCTGTTACGCAAAAATGCGGTCTAGGTAGGCAACACATTACTGGTCTGTATTTGAGGTGATTTGTTTTGTGGGAGCTGCAGTGTGTTTGCGTGAAAATGAAGAATATTGAATGTGTATTTTATGCCTGACTGTAACCGTACTAGAGTTACCGTAACACTGACATTTATTGGCAGAATAGTTGCGGAAAAAGCTCTACGACGTCACAACGAGCAATGGACAGAATTGGATATTAGTGTACTGCATACTGCGCAGTAGTATGAGAGGTGTTCTAATACGGTTTGTGTAAACATTTCTTAACTTTTTAAGTGAATCAAGCAGGAGATATTCAAATGTACGGATTCTGATTTGTCTCATATCGAACGCATTGCATTGTAGGACGTCTAGCATGCACTCTCTCCAAATGTGCCTGCTTCCCTACTAAATAGTTGGAGACAAAGTACATAAAAAAAAGTAGGCGAGGTATCCGGATTAATTCTTCCACCAAGATTCTGAAGTGCGCATCCAATACAGTAACTATCCCATTAGGCCACAGGAGAGGAGTCATGAATTTACATTTATATTCATCTATTTTGCAGACGCTTTTATCCAAAGCGACCCCGATCCAAATGGAAACAAAAGCCATTTGTCAAGGAGCCAATCATATTTTGAATATACAGTGGCAGGTTTTTAACTTCCTACCTAGATTAGGAAGCAAGCTAGTGAAGATTTCAGTAAAGCAGTGTAACTGTAGGCCACATGACATTGTCAGCATGGCTGATGTAGTACATCCGAATTGCGTTCTTACTACACACATGCATACTTTGTAAAACAAACTTCTTTACACAAAGTAGGTTCCTCATTAAATGTAGTACTTACTCATACAGTATGCAGTTTGGGACACAGCTATAGTATTTATCAGTGTGTATACTCCACATTTTTGCAAATGCCATTTAATGGCTATAGGAAATGTGCAATTATGCCATTTCAAACATGGCTGAAATTTCTAGTTTATTGCTGGAATGTTTGGTTTGAGTTCCATTGCTTATACACGCCATGCATTATTTTGATCTAGATAAAAGATAATGATTTTTAAAAATGTAATCAGAAATTTTAAAACAGCTGTCCTTTTAAAAAATTGTTTACAGTATTTTTGACAGTCTGAAAAAATAAGCACTAAATGGTTGTTTACTAAAATGACTAGAGGTGAATTATTTTCGGTTCCTCATTTGGCAAGATTTTACTGCATCGTCATATTAATAATTGTTGGGAACAGCCATGTGATTCACTTCCCTGTGCTCAAAACCAAAGTATATGTAAATAATGTTCACTGCTGAGAAATGCCAGAGAGCTCACCTAGATTTACAGAGTGACCCACTTTATGAGGTGTAACCAAGTGTGTTTTTGGGCTGATCAATAGTGATTCAGGACATTAATCATATTCCTGCCAGACATCGATTCAGCACATTTCCTAATTATTAAATACCATTTTGTTCCTGATCCTTTATTGTTTGGTTTGGGATTTGGTGTTTGAAAAAAAATTGTTTTTGCTTTCACTTCCCTGTGCTCAAAACCAAAGTATATGTAAATAATGTTCACTGCTGAGAAATGCCAGAGAGCTCACCTAGATTTACAGAGTGACCCACTTTATGAGGTGTAACCAAGTGTGTTTTTGGGCTGATCAATAGTGATTCAGGACATTAATCATATTCCTGCCAGACATCGATTCAGCACATTTCCTAATTATTAAATACCATTTTGTTCCTGATCCTTTATTGTTTGGTTTGGGATTTGGTGTTTGAAAAAAAAAAAAAAAACTTTCTTGTTTTTGCTTTTTACAATTATTTATGCACACACACACACACACACACACACACAGTTTTGTTTTTGTGAAAAGTGGGGACATCCCATAGGCGTAATGGTTTTTATACTGTACAGACCGTATATTCTATTGCCCTACACCAACCCTACCCCTAAACCTACCCCTTACAGGAAACTTTGTGCTATTTCAGATTTTCAATACACTCCATTCTGTGAGATTTATAAGCGTTTTGAAAAGTGGGGACATGGGGTAATGTCCTGAAAAGTCACCTTCTCCTTGTAATACCTATGTCATACCCTTGTCATTATACAAATTTATGTCCTCATTTGTCACAAAAACACACTTCGAATGATTCAGCACATTTCCTAATACGATTTTTTCTTTCTTCTTTATTCTTGTTCGGTCACGAGGGGTGAAACTCCAAAAACAGTGCAAACTCTCTGTCAAAAGGACAATGACATGGTAGGAAAAAAAACAAAAACTAAAAAACGAACTACGCAAGTGTCAGTGGATGTCACACGTGTCTTGCCAATCAATACTGACTGGGGAGACAGTGGACATTTAGGGCAGTGATGTTATCCACATTGATCGTAACAGAGGAGACATTAATGTAAAGAGCACAAATGTGCCATGGATAAAAATGTCACTATTCTCTCCACCTCATGCTTTCATCCCGTTCTCTATTTTTCTGACCTGTCGAGGCAGGCGGGGCCCTCTAATCTAGCTTTATCCTGGATTATGTTATTATGACTTCTTCCCGATTGGGATTCAGTCGCCATGAGGGACAGGAATGTTGACTGGAAGACTTCATAAAGCAGTGAGTTCATTCAGGGTGGAATCTAGATCTCTTGTTCCTCCGGATTGACTCGTCTGGTGTCTCATTAAGAGGGCAGGCTGAACAGGTTTTGAGTTGTTCACAACACAAATGAGATTAGACAGTCGGCTAATAACAGAGCATCCGACTAACAGTGAGTTTTACCGTTTTTAAATGCTTCTGTGTGGTCTGCGTGTGATTCTACTGAAAACTGACTTCAGAAGTATGATTTTACATTTCTGCTGAAGAGCTTTCTTTCCATTATTACTCCACTGCAGTGCGTAAACTGCGTTTTGAAACCTTTGTGATGTTAGAACTCAAACGTTGCAATCTATCCACCTCCGCTTTGTTTGTTCCTCTCTTTAGAAGCATGGAGGACGTCACATCACTATTTCTGAAGTTTAAGGGCTAAACAACAACAGGAGGCAGGCATGGAGGCAGAAAAAGCCACGATCCACTGCAAACTCTGCCTGACCAACTGTCCTGAACTGGACACCAGCACATTGCAGTCCTGTAACTGTGTGTTCTGTGTGCAGGTAAGAGCATTGCTGAATAAATCTATATTTATCTTTAAAACTGAAGTGTGTCGTCATGCGAGTTGCTATTACATACATTACGTTAGTACTAGTGATATAGGAAAATCATTTTCACAAACATCTTGCCATAAGCAGGTGTTTATCTCTAGCTGGGGTCTGGGTTATTAGCACAAGGTTGGTGTCAAAGAAATACAGTAAACAAAGCACAATAGTTTTCAGTCTTGAAGGGAGGGGTGGTATTTCTTTCACATGCCGTCTAAGATTAGCCAAATCTAGCCTATTCCTCGTGGGTCAGACTTACAATTAATTTGACTTTTTATGGTTTTTAAGCTGAAGTGTGGCATTTTTTTAAGTTAAAACATTTTCTCCTATTGTACTGTACTCCAACATTCATTCAACAATTGCTTCCCCTGAAAAGCATAAATATTGCTAATACTATGTCAAAACTATGTTTCATTCTGAACATTGATCATCTTGACTAGGGATATTATAGTTAGGCTAAATGAAAACTAAAAGCATAAAAAAACATTTGCGTTAGTTGAAATAAAAGTGAACTGAAATAAAATTTAAAAAAAGCTTATTTTAATTCAGCTAGTTGCCAAGGCAACATTTCTCATTTTTATTTAACTTGTTGTACTTGCATAACTAAACTTTTTTTTTTTTTACAATAATTATTAAAAACTATAAAGACATTTTTTAAGAAAAGGTACAAAAAGTAATAAAAATGGCAAAAACAAAATAACTAAATTTGTAATGAAAATGAAAATGGAAAATATTAAATATTAACAAAAAACTATGAAAGTATCTCGTGATAACATACACAAACACACAAAAAAACCCTCATCCAGGCACATTAAAATTGCTAAAATTTTGTGATTATAGAACAAGACAAGATTTGTATGTCTAAAACTGTGTGTTTGTGTTATATATATATATATATATATATATATATATATATATATATGTATATGTATGTCACAGCTCTGTTGTGTTTGCAGTGTTTAAGGCAGTATGTCCAGTTGGCTATTCGGGGCGGTGCGGGCAGTGCCATCACCTGCCCTGATCCAGCCTGCAAGAACACCGGAACTCTGCTGGACTCTGAGGTACATTTGTCTGTCTCGCTCTCTGTTCTTCTTTCTCAGTCAACAACAGTTTCCAGTTCCGCAGATCACGCTGCAAATATTGACTGTGCAAATATTGACGATATGAAAATCCTTCCACTACATAACACCTAGGCAGCATTAATTTGATTAGAAATACAGTTAAAACAGTAATATTGTGAAATATTATTACAATTTAAAATAACCGTTTTTTTATTATATGTTAAAGGGTTAGTTCACCCAAAAATGAAAATTAGCCCATGATTTACTCACCCTCAAGGCAGCCTAGGTGTATATGACTTTCTTCTTTCAGACGAATCCAGTCGGAGTTATATTAAAAAATGTCTTTGATCTTCCAAGCTTTAGAATGGCACTCAGCGGGTGTTACAGTTCATCAGTCCAAAAGAAGTGAAATTAAGCGCATAGATCCATAGTAAAACGTGCCTCACATGGCTCCGGGGGGGTGAATGAAGGCCTTCTGTAGCGAATCCATGCGTTGTTGTAATAAAAATATACATATTTAAAAACTTATAAACACTTTTCTGTCACTTCCTGTAACTGTCGTACGCGCGTTCAGGACGTATGGGTAGCACATGCGCCGGTGAGAAGTGATGAACACGGAAGCACGGTGAGTAAATCATGCGCTAATTTTCATTTTTGGGTGAACTATCCCTTTAAAATGTAAATTATTCCTGTGATGCATCATCACTCCAGTCTTCAGTGTCACATAATCCTTCAGAAATCTTTCTAATATGCTGATGTACTGTTGTGCTGCTTAATATTTTGTGGAAACGGATGCATTTTTCAGGATTCTTTGATGAATAGAAAGTTTGAAAGAACAGCATTTATTTGAAACATTTGACCCTTTTTTTCAATTAATCCTAGCTGAATAAAAGAATTAATTTCTTTAAAAATGACCCCAAACTTTTGAACAGTAATGTAAATTAACAGAGTTTTGGAGTTGACTCACAAAAGCAACCCCCTAGCAACCACTCAGATCACCCTAGTGACAAAATTAGGCTCAACCTTAGAAACCTCATAACAATGCCATGGCAAATTAAAATAGAGCAAAAGTGAACACAAAGAGCTTTGATGAAATTTGTCTGGGTTTGTTTAGCCTAAATGTTCATTTTGCTTTTGGTTGCCACAGCATTAATCTCAACAAGAACACACTGGCTTTATTTATCACAAATGTTTTTCATCAGTCAAATGTTTCCACAAGTCCCAGTATTATTTTCCCCTCATGATCTTAACCAACCTGCTTTGTGAACTAATATAAGTACAGTGATATAAATATTACCTGGTGTCATGACTCTGGTCTTTGGAAAATTTTGTTCTGACACTCTGATGTTTAATGTAAATGCTAAACCGTCTACATGGATTTTTTTGACCTCTTTTGTATTATTTCAGTCTTTTTCTTGTGATTTATAATAAAAATTTCTAACTGTATTATGTAAATGTGTGATAAGCAGGATCATGTACCTACGTCTGGATTTATTTCGCGATGTTGACCAGCTGACAGTACATTATCTCCTACATAAGATCTGATTTGCAAACCTGATGTGCTATTCATGTGCAGTTCTGTAGCTCAAACATGACACATTCCAACATGACCTGAATATGAATTAATATCCTTCTTTATACAGCTTGCCTTGTTTGCCCCCAGCGATCAGTTTGAGCTCTATCAGCGGCTCCGATTTGAAAGAGGTACGTGCTTGTCCTGCTTCATGTATGTATGCATTAGGGCTGCACGATAAATCGAAATGGAATAGAGATCGCGATTCGACAGAAGCTGCGATTGTCATGCGTATCTTTCAGTGAAGCACGGTTCTGTGATCAGCAGTAAATCTCCATCCAAAGGCCAGAGGGCGCACTCAATCTGAAACTCCAAATATGCCTCGCAGAAGTTACCCAGAAAACGTATCAGAAAATCCAGATGTAACCCAGAAATAGAAGATTCAATAGCTATGCAAACAGCTGTCATTATCGCCAACGATTCCTTCGATTTCAGAATCGCGCAATAAAATCGTTTTTTTTTTTTTGCATAACTTGTCAGTGAACTACGGCTGTGTGTAGTAAATTCTGCTCCATCTGAAAGCACGTGATGATGATTTCCTGCTGATTACTGAACCGGCATTACTATCAAAATGCGCATGACAATCGCATTCGATTAATCGTGCAGCCCTAGGTGTATCACTTCCCATAATCACTCATGAAGGATAGTGTTACTGGAACCCTCACTGAAAATCACTGAATATGAAAGGCAGGAACAAACAGTTCTGAGCGTTTGTGAGTTATAAAGAAGCATACTTTTAGGCTTACTAGACTATTTATGTCAGTCAGTGGTTATTGGTGATTTTAGCTATATTGTGTTGTTTCTGTCTCTAGTTTAAAATATAGGCTAGCAATTGAAAATCAACCAAAATTGAGTTCTGGCAAAAATCAGATCTCTTAGACTATGATCTGTCCTGTGAAACAGAGCGTTTGTTCAGATTCAAAGAAAACCGAGTGTGAAAATTGATTTTAAATCAATATTCGATCAAAAAATCTATTTTCAAAAGCCATTTTCCTCAGTTCAAGCATAATTTTGTAGGAGTACAGACAGTAATTTCACTGCAGCAGCAGCTGCTTGGCACATTAACTTGGCACAACTTGGTACCCAGTTAATTTAATTTAAACACTAAAAATGTAAACTGAAATTTCTTATTATAAAAATAAAAAAATATCACAGCAAGAGAAGGATGCATCTTTGCTGCCTTTAAAAAAAACCAGATGAAGGCATCTTAGATATGACTCAAACACTGGATTTAAACATGACTTGATAGCTTGATATAGATGTCTGTCTATACTGTCTGCAAATGCAAACATTTTCAAGTTTCAGACACAAAAATGAGCTTATTGTCAATTGTATATTTTAGAATCAGAAAAGTTATGACTATCAGTTTTTATCCTACGGCTCAAGTGTGAGTGTGCTGCTTCTTCTCTGAGTCACGGTTCATGTTGCTGGTTTGTGTCTGCCAAGGTCCAGCTTTTATAGAAGAACCGTAAACAATGAGCTTATTCAGACAGCAGAAGCTGTGGGATTTTCTTCTTCCACTGCCTCTGTCTGCATCTGAACTGCTCCGAGTCCCAACATGCTAGGAATCGTCTAGTCTGTCTGTGGTGTCAAGTAAACTGTGACGTTAGTATTCGCAGAAGTCTTCCTGAGACGGATTCGAGACTGTTAACAGTAAACCTCAATGAAAAATTATCAATGAGGAAGGGAAATTTGCAAGCAAATGAATTGGCTTTGCCACATCTTTTTTTTTTTTTTCAAGCCTCGAATGTTTTTTTTCACCTCAGTCTTTCTTTCGGTTTCTTTCAGGAGTTCAGTTAGACCCCAGTAAGGCTTGGTGTCCCAAGCTGGACTGCCAGGCCGTGTGCAGTGTGACACCTGAAACCGAAGGCAAACCGGTTCCTGTGCCCTGCCCCACGTGCCATGATGTCTTCTGCTGCGGCTGCAGAAGCCCCTGGATAGATGGTCACTCCTGCTCCCAGCACCAGCCACTGATGGTACCATCAGCAGACAGGTCAGTGTGACCGATTTACCACTGATCGAACAACTGTTTATCATTCAGTTCCATAACACGGCCCTCTAAACGTGCTCTGTGTGTCGTCTCTGCAGTGAACTGAGCAGCACTGATACTGATGCAGCCATTAAACAGTGTCCAGTGTGTGGCGTCTACATAGAGCGCAATCAGGGCTGTGCGCAGATGCTCTGCAAGAGCTGCAAACACACGTTCTGCTGGTACTGCCTACAGAATCTGGATGTAAGTGATTCTAGGGCTTTACAATTGTTCTGCCACCAACACAAATAATTTTGGACACTACGACACTAGACATACCATGGTATTACAATCATACCATGGTTTGTACTGTGAATGATTAAAATCACAGTATCACATTAATGTATATTTTCTGGACATAGTACCACGATTAAATCATGATATTAGAAGCAGTACAGATTGCACATGTTCTATGGGAACACCTTGTTTTTTGGACATGACATTGTAAATGTATAATAATAATAGTTATTATTATTATTACTACAATAATTTAAAATTAAAACCCATTTTAATATTATAATTAAAAATGAAAAGTATCTATTATATGAATAATAAAAGATAAATATTTTATTCAAATTTTATTTTATTATATTACTACTACTACTAATAATAAAATTCAATTATTTTTCTATTAATTCCATTTTAATATAATATTAATTTTCAATATTAGTAATAACAACAACAACAATTTTCAATTTGAATCATTTATTTATTATTATTATTTAAAATTAAAACATTTATTTTTACAGTTGAAATTTAAAATTAATAAAATATAAGTATCTATTGATAATAAAAAAATTATATATTTAAATATTTGATTAAATTTCAATAATAATAATAATAATAATATATAAATTATTAATTAAATTGTAATATAATATTATTATTATTTTTATTTGATCATTTAAATTAAAAAAAAAATCATTATTATTGTTGTTGTTGTGTTGTTGTTATACACACATTTACTATATCTTTCTTTGTGACATTTAATATTTTTAAGCCTTTTTGGATCAAAAATGTCCCTACGTTACAGGGCGATATATTTCTGAGACATTACGATAAAGGACCATGCCGAAACAAGCTGGGACACTCCAGAGCTTCTGTCATGTGGAACAGGACACAGGTTAGCTGGAATGCCAATTTGCATTGTTTTTCATTATGTCAGACATTTACCAATTTCCAAATGACTTTGATGTCTAGTTTTAGAAAGCACCAATTTTTGTCAGATTTTTGCTGCTTTTTCAGTTGACTTGTTTTCTTCTCAGCAAAATTAGACTGTTACTATCATGAAAACTACTCACATGCAGTAAGATCCTGCTTGACTTTCTGCTTTTGTGTTGTTGTGATGTTCAGGTGGTCGGTATACTGGTGGGCGTCAGCATCATCGTGCTAGTGACGTCACCACTGCTGCTGCTGGCCTCTCCCTGCATCCTGTGCTGCGTGTGCAAACCCTGCCAGGCCAAGAAGACCAAGAAAAAGAAGAAAGACAAGAAGCCATCAGATTCCACCGCATAGGAGAACTCTTAATAATCAATATGTGTAGCATCCTCCCCGTGCCAATCCTCAGTCTCGCTAGCCAGGTGCACAAGTGCCTCATTCTCAGTGCCTGGTAAATTCGGTGGATTTATTTTGCCTTCAGGTGCAATGGTATGGGAAAAAGCAGCATGTTGCTTATTGAGTAAACAAAGTAAAGGAATGGCCCTTTCTCCACCAAGCCCAAACCTTCGTTCATGTGTACTATAGAGGCTACATTATAAAAATATTCATGAACTGTAGCAATGGGTTAAACTCTTTTTGTTTCCATGTAGCGTTCCAGACCAAAGTCCCTGCTGTTTTTTCTTGTGTACTATAATGTGTAAATACTGTATTTATGAGTCTGGGTACTGTTCTGTTCTTTTTAAATTTGTTGATTTTTCTGCATCAGCTATTTTATAACTTCATTACAATAAACTAAACACCTGAGCAGTGAAAGTGACTAGTTTCTATGTGTCCTCATGTTAAATGGTTAGAAAATGTAACATTTTAGTAGCATTAACATAAACATTTCAAGTTACACACACGGTCATAGTTAACAATATAGGCTGTTTTTCCTCTCAGACATTTCAGTGCGATTAGTTTTGTTTCAGGGCTCATACTCTAGTAAAACAGCATGAAAAGGAAGCATTTCTAACACAGAAAACAGCTGTTGTATTGCACTGGATTTCATAACCAGCTGGGGAAATTTACAATAGAGTTTCTGCTTAATAGTGAATATTCCTGGTTGTTAAAACTGTTTACTAAACTTTTTAAATATTTAAATGTAAAATACTTTCGAAAAGGAAGCATTTCTAACACAGAAAACAGCTGTTGTATTGCACTGGATTTCATAACCAGCTGGGGAAACTTACAATAGAGTTTCTGCTTAATAGTGAATATTCCTGGTTGTTAAAACTTGTTCCTGTTTACTAAACTTTTTAAATTAAATACTGTGTTTATGAAATTTTGGGGTGAAAATTTCTTGAAATCATGTCCATGTAATTTCACCCTGAAATTATATATTTTTTTTTCATTAAGACAATGAAGTCTATTTCAGGATTTTTTTAAATTACTGTCATTACTGAGTTACAGAGTTTTTTTATATTTAAAATTTCATTATTTTCAATGTTGATTATCATTAGATTAGATTAGCTATATTATTCATTTAAATAATCATACATTAAAGGTAATACAACAAAATGTACATACACAACTCTGCAAGCAAAACCTAAAAAAACCCCCAAAAAACTAGGAAACGCTTGTTTTATGGTGTGAGGTCAAGGTTTTATCATCATGCCATAAGCTCTCATTTTACATAGTGTCATTGGTGTTTATTAGTCATGAGTTAAATGGAGTTCTCTGGTCTTCTTTGTTTACCTCAATGTGTGATCTTGCGTAGATTAAGTATGCTACACTTAGCACAGGATCAGTTTTTTGACAATGACACTATATGCTTTTGCCAGAAATACTTTAAAGGAGACATATTATGCCCCTTTTTACAATATGTAATATAAGTCTCTGGTGTCCCCAGAATGTGTTGGTGAAGTTTCAGCTCAAAATACTCCACAGATAATTTATTATATCATTTTGAAAATGCCTATTTTGAGTGGAAGCAGAAACGCGCTGTTTTTGGGCCTGTCTCTTTAAATGCAAATGAGCTGCTGCTCCCCGCCCCCTTTTCCAGAATAGAGCTGCGCCATTACAGCTCAGACCTGCTAAAAACATCTGTTTTGGTTCTGATTATCATGTTTATCACGCTAAAATCATGCGTTTTAAACCATATGAGTTTAAACGAAGCACACGGACAGAAAGCGGCTGTCACCGCATGTGAGTTCTAAACTAAGTTCTCATTCACACACGTTTACGTTAAAAAAACGTAAAAAAAAAACCAGTCGGTTATGTATGTGAAGGTAAACAGCTGGGAAATAAATCGCATGTTTATTTTAGATCTAAATAGTGTTCTGTGCTCGTCTGTGCAGACAAAGACAGAACAGTTAGTATGTTTTGCTCAAACTTTCGCCATGGCGTTAGAGCTGGTAGACCGTTGTCGCTTGCGAAAACACGATGCCGGCGCCATGGGTGTAAACTTACATATTAAGGGGCGGTAATATTATAATGAGATCCCTTTGCAACGTCACCAAAGGCGTGAAATCAGACGCGCTTGTTTTCTCAGAAGCTTGCAGAAAAAGGCTTACCAAAACAAAGTTACTGAGTTAATCTTTTTCACGTTTCCTTGGTTGGTAGATGCACCTTGGACCTGATTATAGCACTTAAAACCTGGAAAAGTCAGATTTTCATGATATGTCACCTTTAATAAATGCGTCTACTCTGTTCTCCATGTATACCAACCTGGAATCATGAAAGTGTTTTATCATTTTATTATTTTTTTTTGTTATTTCTGTGCCACACACCTTGTTATTTTTAAACTCCGCCTTTCTTTTTTTTCGGAGATGTTTTTTTTTTCAATGTACAAAATAACATTATATGATATAATAATTACATTATTATTTAATTATTTATTATTAATTATATACAGCATTTAGTTATTTATTCTCCCCAATGTATAGGCATAAATGTATTTTTCCCCTTTTAAAACAACGTGCACTTTAGGACTATTTTACTTGTAACATCTGCCAAACGCAACCTCTCAGTGACATCACATCATACTGCAGTCCATTCGCCAACCAGCAGCCTTGGATTGGCCAATGGCCAGATAGCGTGAGCTCTGCTCACCGAATACTCGCTTCTGGTTGGTTCGTTCTAAAGAGAGGAGGCGGGACGCTGCTGTCTACAAACTGCAAGAGGATCCGCGCCCTCATTATCATAAATTATTCAGCATCACCTAGAAGCGTCGCACCAGCTCGAGGTGCACTCATGTGCTGGATATTATACCTACTTTTTATTTATGATTATTTATAATAAGAGGCTTTTCACTGAATTCATGACCTAAATTATTTATAAAAACGGATAATATTTTTTTCACAGTTTTTGTGTGGAACAATAGGCTAACTCAAAAGTCTGATCACCTGATCACCTGTGCTTGTCTTTTGAGATTGTTGTTGCTATTTTTGAACGTCATTTTTTTTGTTTTGATATTTGAACTGATTTTCGACATGTGGACCTTTCTTGGAATTGCAAGTTTTACATATATCTATAAGAAATGCGATGCTCTGGTGAGTTATGCGCCCAGAGAGCTGGTGGTGGCCGCGGTGCTGTGCGTGTCCGTGGGTCTGATTGTCACGTGCCTCGGCTTGCGCGGACAGACGCTCAAAGCGCCTCAGTTTCTCCAGATGCCTCTCAACCTCTTGACTTCCTTTCCTCCGACCAAAAAACTCTTCTCCAAGTCCAGTACAGACAGTTGTAGTCGCACTTCTACGAAGGTGAGATAGTGTTTTTGTGTTTTTATTTTATTATTAATTTTTTCTATATAGTTATTTATATATTTTCTATTTAGTTTCCATGTAGACTATTTTAAGCTGTTAAAATGATCACTGGAAATATTTCACCACTAATAACGAGTCATTTTTCTTTCTTTCTTTCTTACTTTAATCAATTGTCGCGTTTGGTAGATGAGAAACATATTACAGATTATTATTTTATTATTTTAAACATAAAAATCCCGTACATTTATTCTTATTACATTATAATAAGCTACATCAAGAGGTGTATTTTTTCATTAAGTGATATTTGTATCCATGAGATACTATTATAGTTTTTATTTCATGTTTTCATTTGAATTTGAAACTGTAAATTTTGTGCGTATTTGTCAATATTATTATTATTATTATTATTTAATATGTCTATACAGTTTTTATTCATTTTATTTCATGTTATTTTATCTCAAGTTATTTTGTTATTTTAAGTAACAAAAATATATATATTTTTTATGGTTTAAATTTTAGTTAACTATTACCATGATGTAAAACATAAAATGTATTTTTTGTCTTTTTAATGACATTTCTAATTATTATTTTTTCAGAAAACAAATATTATTTACAAAAAGTTATATTATTAGAATACTCACTTTTCTTTCTTCACTCTTTCTAACTAGAGAGATGTAAAGCGAAAGAGGGCGACAGACAGTCAGTCTAGTCAGGGAGAGGATCCAGAGGTCATCATAGTGGGCGCTGGTGTGCTGGGGTCAGCCATGGCCTCCGTTCTGGCCCGAGACGGCCGGAGGGTCACAGTGGTGGAGAGGGACATGAGAGAACCAGATCGGATAGTGGGAGAACTTCTTCAGCCGGGAGGATATCGGGCACTCAAAGAACTCGGGCTGGAGGGTACCCATATCCTGTTTATAGTTACAGTACACTTCATCTGATCTTTCTATTAAAGGGGTCATAGGATGCTACATGCACTTTTTACAAGTTGTTTGAACTGAAATGTGTGTTGGCAGTGTGTGTACACAACCACCCTATAATGATACAAATCCACCCAGTGTTTTTTAAAAATCTGATTAAGGCCCAATCCCAATTCTATTTTATACCCCTTCCCCTTCCCCTACCCCTCCACCTAGCCCTTCCCCTTGAAACAGAGTGTCAAGGGGTAGGGGTGAAAATATTCCCCTAAGAATTGGGACACCACTACTATGCCGTCACACATCATCATACGTCGTCTAGCTCCTAATACACACACCTATACTGTTGTGCTGGTGTGCATTTCAGCTTTTAATTACGTTCTATATTAATGCGCTGCTTACTGCTCGAACCCGGTCAATCGCATCACAAGCTACTTTTCTGCGCCCAACGCGTTACTGCCTACACTACTGAAGCCATTATTCACACCCCTCGTATTTAACCTTGTGTGACATTGGAGGGCGGAGCTACTGTAAATTTGCACTATGTAATAAACACTCTGAATAATGTTGTTTTCCATTTGCATTAAGATTCATTTTTATTACCACACTGGCAGATAATTTTACTTAAGTAAAATACACTTAATTTAGATCCCCCCAGGAAACAAGACTAAGGCCCAATCCCAATTCTATTTTATACCCCTTCCCCTTGTCCCTTGAAACAGAGTGGGGTAGGGGTGAAAATATTCCCCTAAGAATTGGGACACCACTACTATACCATCACATGTCATCATACGTCGTCTAGCTCCTACAATACACGCACCTATACTGGTGTGCTGGGGTGCATTAGAGCCTTTAATTACTGTTCTATATTAAACACACACACACACACACAAACACACACATATATATCGGAGATTGCGCAGCTTACACATCCAGGAGAAAAGAAACTTAAATATTTGAGAAAAGGGTTTAGCGATTTCTAATTATTGGGGGAACTAGCCCCCCTCAATGTCTACAGGATGGTTATCGCCCTGATCAGACATGAAAATATGCTGTGGCACTATCGTGCAGTCTGTAATGATATGACGTTAGCAAATATTAGCGATTTTTTGCAAACATTTCTTTGAGTAATATGACTGTAAATATGAACTCATGATCGAATGTAACATAAAACAAATTATTACTTTTTGTTAAAATCTTTATTAATGCCAAAAATGCTTACATTTATGTGTCTTTTTTTCCGCTCGGGCAGCCATGTTGCTCCTGAAGCCGGTTTATGCTGAGATCATTCATGCCCCTTCGGTTGAAGTGTGGTCCCGAAAAATCTTCGTTTGAAGGGCTGTCTGGCCCTTCCCCTTCCCCATACCCCTCCAACCAAAAGAGAATTGAGACACCCCTACCCCTTCACGTGAACGGGGAAGGGCTAAGGGGTAGAACTGGGATTGGGCCTAAATGTTTTACCCTTTCTCAAATTGAGCCAATCGCTCCTGAAGCCGGTTTATGCTGAGATCATTCATGCCCCTTCGTTTGAAGTGTGGTCCCGAAAAATCTTCGTTTGAAGGGCTGTCTGGCCCTTCCCCTTCCCCATACCCCTCCAACCAAAAGAGAATTGAGACACCACTACCCCTTCACGTGAACGGGGAAGGGCTAAGGGGTAGAACTGGGATTGGGCCTAAATGTTTTACCCTTTCTCAAATCGAGCCAATCTCAGATGCCTGTCTGTGTGACGTCACACAGACAGGCCCCTCCCACGATAGTTTGATTGACAGTAGCGTTTCAGCACAGACTGGACTGGCGTCTACCCTTAGCTCCGCCCTGAGTGAGCTGTCATCAGTCCGCCATTGTTTCACCACTGGAGCAGATGTAGACATGACTCCTTCCTAAGCGATTGAGGTGTTCTGTTGTTGGATGTAGTAATGAACATAGCAGTCGTCATTTACTCCTGACATCGGAGCCGCTGAACTGGCAGTGGATTACATTGTTTCTGAAGCGAATGCGCCCCTAATCTACCTAAATGTGTCTATGTTCGCGCGAATCTTTCATGATCCAGCCTCATCTACAGAAGAAGTGAGTATAATGTTTTGTAATGAATCTTTGCAAATCGCCTTTCCTAATAATGTGCTAATTAGCAAGTTTCAAGATGAATGCGGCTAAAGTAAACAGTCTCTCTGAGAGCAGCTAGGAAGAGAGGGGCGGGGTCAGCAGAGCTCATTAACATTTAAAGAGAAATGCTACAAAAACGTCTTGATCTGAAAAGTGCTGATTTTGACAGGGTAAAAAAGGTGTTTTTTTACAATACCATTGAGAAATTTTAACCAAACTATGTTACAGACTTTTCATTAAGACCCTAAAGAATCATATCAACTTGTGGAAAATGGGCATCCTATGACCCCTTTAAATGCATGCTTGTTCAAATCCTCCTAGCATATTTTTAAATATCTAATAAATAGACCAAATGTGCTTTTATTGCATAGAACTGTAATATCTAAATTCACATAAATGAAATTGCACTTTTCAACTTTGCATTTTATATTCACAAACTCTTTGTCTTCTTTCAGATGCTGTTGAAGGTCTGGACGCCCATGTGGTGAATGGTTATGTAATCCATGACCTGGAGAGTCGAACGGAGGTGGAGATCCCGTATCCCCAGCAGGAGAGCAGCATTCAGGGTGGACGTGCTTTCCATCATGGACGCTTCATCATGGGACTGCGTCGAGCTGCTCTCGCTGAGCCCAAGTAAATACCTGACGCGATTTGTAATATAAGAATATAATGATACCGATGACTGTTGTGCTTATCATTACTTCTGTTTTTCAGAAAAATTCTGATTCTAATTAGAAAGTGTGTGAACTAGCTGTTTAAAACCAATATATAAAACCACTGCTAGAGAAAACATTTGACTGTAGATTTCATAAATGGTGAGATTATACAGTACCTACAGGCTTAGGTAGATTTTCTTTAGGTATTAGTTGGTGCACTTTTGTGTCTCATTAGTGATGGATTTGGAGACTGATGGATCTAATATCATGTCATATTTGCACAGTGTGAAGTTTGAGGAGGGAACGGTGACCAGCCTGGAGGAAGAAGATGGTTGTGTGACAGGAATTCAGTATAAGGAGAAGGATTCAGGGATGATCAAGGTAATGACACACTGACACTTGGTTGTAATATTTGTAAAAGGATGGTTATGGTTGTATATAGTATTGATAAATGGATCAAAGGCATTTAGATTTGCTTTTCCATACTGCAATTTTACTCTCTCTCTCTCTCTCTCTCTCTCTCTCTCTCTCAGGAGATCCATGCTCCCCTCACTGTAGTTGCAGACGGATGTTTCTCCAAGTTCCGTAAGAATCTGATTTCTGGGAAAGCTAAAGTGTCTTCTCATTTTGTTGGATGCATAATGAAGGTAAACAAAAGATGACGTTGCATTTCTCTGTTAAAAATGCCCAAAAACACAATGATTGATTGTGTTATGATGCTCTCTTCCAGGACTCTCCTCAATTCAAGCCCAACCATGCAGAGCTGGTTCTAGCTAATCCCAGTCCAGTGTTGATCTATCAGATCTCCTCCAATGAAACTCGGGTTCTGGTGGACATCCGAGGAGAGATGCCTCGAGACCTTATGCGGTACATGATGGAAAAAATCTACCCACAACTACCAGGTATCAGATTTAGACTTTAAAATAACCAAATTGCTAATACAAGTCTTTATTTTTTTTTTAAAGACACAGATTTTTGAAATACTTCTTATTTCAGTTGTATTTCTTTACAGATGACAACAATGCAGTTTAGGCATTTAGATGACAGAATGCTCACAAATATGTGTATTTTGCTTAAACAGAGCACTTAAAGGAGCCGTTCATGTTGGCACTGCAGAATGATCGCTTGAGAACAATGCCCGCCAGCTTCCTGCCACCCGCACCAGTCAATAAACAAGGCAAGCCTGGTTTATTACATACTTAACCCAAACTTTTAAATCTGTATCTTGGTTTCCACAAAGTTATTAAGCAGCACAACTATTTTCAGCATTGATAATAATAAGAAATGTTTCTTGAGAAGCAAATCAGCACATTAGAATGTTTTCTGAAATATCATGTGACACTGAAGACTGGAGTAATGATGCTGAAAATTCAGCTTTGGAAAACAGGAATAAATTACATTTTAAAATATATTAAAATAGAAAACAGCCATTTTAAATTATAATAATATTGGATAATATTACTGTTTTTTACTGCATCTCTGATCAAATAAATGCAGCCTTGGTGAGCATAAGAGACTTAATTGGAAAATTACTGGTCAAATGTTGAAATAATTAAGTTTTAAGGCATGAAAACTCTAAAATGTGGATGTTATATTAAAGTGGAACAGTTAAATTAAGCATTGGATCTCGTAACATCATTTTTACAACCCTAAAAATCCTGACCAGATGCACAGAGTGAAAAGGTGCAGCTTTATGTGTTGCAAGTGTTGACCCACCTGTCCTCCATCAGGGGTTCTGCTGTTAGGCGATGCGTATAACATGCGTCATCCTCTGACCGGCGGCGGCATGAGTGTGGTGCTGAATGACATCCACATCTGGAGAGACCTGCTCAAGAACATCCCTGATCTCTATGACAATACAGCTGTGCTCCAGGTAACATCTGCAGTTACAATGGTCAGAGTGTGGAAAGTTAGATACCTTTCTAGTGCTTATCTTCATTGCACATTAAACATACAACAACAACATACTGTATATCAACTTGGCTGCAAAACCTAGTGAGTTGCCTACATACTGTAAGTAGCATAAGATGTGCAAAATATTTTTTATTGATAAATGTATTTGTGGTTTACGTATACATTTATGCTTATTAGATTAGGCATAACAATACACTCTTAAAAGGTTCCAAACAGTTTGTTTTTTTCTCACAGAAGAACCATTTTTGTGCCTCTGAAGAATCGGTCAGTGAACAGTTCTTAAAATGCCCCTATTATGGTTAATGAAAGGTTCATATTTTGGTTTTGGGAGTCCCCAACAACAGGTTGACATGCATGCAAGGTCAAAAAACACGTTTGTTGTCTTATAATATGCATTTATTTTTACCTTATTTGCTCATCAACTCCCAAACGATTGGCTCAACGATTAATTTTTCCAAACCCCTCTTTTGCGTGACGCTAATCTGCAGCGATTGGTTCGATTGGTCTCATTTTCATTTCATAATGCCTGTAATGCCTAATAAGCAGCGTTTGTGAGCGCAGTGCTGCTTTGTGTACAGCGTTACTGGGGAAACTGCTATTTTACAGCTCCAAAAACGGCATCTAGTGGCAAAGAATGAATTTGCATTTTCATTCAGACCAACTCGAAAAGACCAATAAGTGGGCGGGCTATATGCTAAAGTTTCATGTTGACGTCAACATGAAACGGCTTGGGATTCGTTTTAAAAACGACTCGTTTCAATGATTCAGAGTCGATTTTTTCTTTTGAGAGACAGTAACTTTATACACGGTGCACTTTTCATTCAATTAGAGCTGTGTTACACACTGCATGAAAGCTCATTTTCAAAAATCCATAATAGGGGCACTTTAAAAGATTTTTTAATAATCTCAAGAACATTTTTATATTATAAAGAACCTTTTGTGTATTTAAGGTTGCATGGATTTTAAACGTTCTTCATGGAACCATCAAAGCTAATAAAGAAGCTTTGTAAGTAGAGAAATGCATTTGTAGGCAGTACGGCACCTCAACAGGTTTTGGAACTGATTGCATTGGATGAATGTTTAAATGCCACTGTGATCATCATAGTGGATCTGAGAAACGGAAATGTGCAATGAAGACTCTGTTGCTGTTGTCAGGCAAAGAAGAAATTCCACTGGGAACGGAAATCATCTCATTCGTTTGTGGTGAACGTTTTGGCTCAAGCTCTGTATGAACTGTTTGCTGCGACCGACAGTAAGTGACTAAACACTTTCTTAAATATTTCTGTTTCAGTTTTCAAAATCATAAAGTATCTCATTATATCTAACATCTGTTTATTTTCAGATTCACTGCATCAGTTGAGAAAAGCCTGTTTCCACTATTTCAAGCTTGGCGGAGAATGCATCAATGGACCGATCGGCCTTCTGTCCGTGTAAGTATTCAGATTCAAAGAATCTGCCACTGAGAAACATCAGTGTGCTCTTCAAATCAGACGTCTTCCACTGGTTTTTGCAGATATCTGAGATCTTCTCACACCACTAATCAGTTTTTTTGTTTCCTCAGATTGTCGCCAAAACCCTTTACTCTGATCGGTCACTTTTTCGCTGTGGCATTATACGCCATCTACTTCAGCTTCAGATCTGAATCCTGGCTCACGATACCACGAGCGCTGGTCAACAGCATAGCCATCCTGTACAGAGCCTGTGCCGTCATGTTTCCTCTTATTTACTCTGAGTTACAGTACCTGATTTACTAGGAAGGAACTTCTTTCAAACTGAAAAAGAAACTGATTTCTTCAGTCGTTGAACGTGACACATCTGTCACATCTGTTGGCTACATCTGAGTGCCTAATTTTTGGGGAAAAAGGGATTCATGTCAGACACTGCACAAGGAACAATTCTCAGATGAGGAAATGCATATGGTGTCTGATATTAACAGACAAAGACCCTGCCTTATATTTTCATACACTAAGTGCTAATGATGTAGTGAAATTGGCCTTAAACTGCGATTAAATGAGGGAAAATCCTGTGCTTGTTTTTCAAGTCAACATGAAACCGCATTTACAAACTATTTCTTATGCAGTACATTAAGTAAATCTGGTCAGTTTTAATTTCTTGATGTTTTTGTTCAGTCAGAAATGTGTTTTTACTACATTTCTGAGTGCAAAATAAGTTAATGAATCAATTCATAAAGATTAAACCACTAGGCTGCTTAAGTTGTAGAATTGTGAATATATTTGAGCTGTTTTCAAGACACTAAGGACAATCAATGGGACTGCATCTCATTTGTAACTGAAGCACTTGATTTCCTCACGTGCCTTGCTTTATTGCGGTTTCAGACTTTTAAAATTTTTTTTAATTGTGTCCATTTATCATGATTTTCACATGGGGCCTTCCATTATAATTTTTGCCTTTCTCTGTTGTTTTCAAGTCAACATTTAGTGCCGTCAAAAAATTCTATGAGCAATGAAAGTATAGAGTAAAATCATGTGGATATTTACTGAAAAGAGGACAAAAGCTTTAATGTGAAGAATAATTTAGCCATTTAGTGTTTATAGTATTTCTGGCTGTGTATGCAGCCACTCTATGGATCGTTCTTTCATATAATTTGTCCTCTTTGATTTAAAAAATATATATATTTGGAGTCAGAAATACAGTTAGAAATAGTATAACAGATTGGAATGATCCAGTAACATTGAAAACCTGTTCTAAAGGCTTTGTATTTTAAAATCTATCATTCTTTTATAATTGGACAAGAGGTTTGTGGGATAAATAACTACATTTTGTGCAAATGATCATACGTCCACCAGGTGACGCCCTTGCACCAGCAAAATGAAAAAAGAGTCACTCTGATCATGTCAACAAAATAAAAAGATTAAACATGATTCTACATCTTCTTCAGTGCTACAGTTGCAAAGTTCTCGATATTGTCAATGAGTGAAACGGTAATGGCAACCGGCCATAATAGCCTCAAAACCAATGATCTCTATATAATCTAATCTAATCTCTATTATAGATCAGTGCTCAAAACCCTTCCTACAAGCACTGCCTCTCCTAATTTTGACACCTGTCAATCACCCATCATAATCTGACTCTCTGTGTTCTTTGATGTGAATTGAAATTACATTTAATTTTTGCCGTTAAGAATGTGGCTATTCATACCGCTATTACCATGTATCTGTAATTTATTTAATCAGAATAAATAATTTAACTTGATCTAGGAGAAATTTTTACTTTCAATGGATGAAATCAAGTACCACCTTACATCTTTTTCTCGATGAATATGCAATTTCACTCAGAAATGACAGATTGCACAAGTAAATGGGTTGAGGCAGTGTTTCATGCTGACATAAGACTGAACCAAATTAAGGAGATTTATGATTTATGATGATGAACCAATCATTTTCTCCTTACACAAAAGTGTTACCATAGTAGTATGGTGGTTCCATAGTAAAGTTATAGTTTAAGTATATATATACCACAAGCCTGAATAACTGAATGCCATGTTATATGAATGACCATATTCATATAACATGATATTTGCATGTTCGGTATTTAACAAACATGTTCGGCATTTTGTATTTCCTTCCAAAATACTATGGTATTAGCAGGACACTTTTTTAAAAGAGAAAATGAATTAATTTACTTGCTTATTCTGTGGTGAAGCGACCAGACCGAAGAAATAAAAACCATAAGAGACCTGATTCTGTCCCAGGTTACAACGATTTATTAGTATTCATTGTTCTTTATACATCACTGTAACATTATATTCCGGTGAAGTAGATGAAGAATTTGTTGCACTTCTCGTCTGCGACTCTGAAAGGACGTATGTGTTCCTCTCGCTGTGCGCAAAGTCAATCTAGACACCGAAAAACCCAAAAGAAAAAAAAAAAATGCTGGGACAGGACATGTGAGAAGAAGAGACTTTCCCTGCTAGAGTCCGTCACATTCGACCCTGTGCTCGACCACTGAGACTGTTCCTCTCCACAGTAGCAGCAAGCTCTTTATAAACGATTCATTTACTCTAGGATCTAAAAGACCAATAAACAAAAATATATACTGTACTGCTACTGCTAATGAGGCCTGAAGAACCTGGCTTGAAACTAGATTAATAAAGTGCGAGAAGCAACCCACCAATCCACACAACTGTATATTCGTTAATATATTTATATATATAGGAACAAATCTTAACATTAATTTACAGGATAATATACAATATATTAGTAACAGCTGAGATATCAGCACAAAAAAGATCACTGTCACACTTAACAGCAATATATATATATATATATTTGTATATTATATATATGAATTTATATATATAATCATATACATAAATATAGAATTGTCATTATATTCATGAAAAACAATTAAACCACATCTCAGGCTTTTCAAATGATACCCAGAAAAGCAATTAATCCGTCAAGACGTAAAAGGTCTCTTGGAAAGAGAAACGGGGAAAACAAAAGTACCCCGTCTGGATTATTTGAGGTCACAGGACAGGAATTTGCATATTCCACAAATCTATTGCGACACATTTCTGCCTACGAACAGTAAAAGTCCACCCTTCCGAAGTGGAGGGGTCGACGTTAGCCACACTCACACGTAAAACCCACTGAACAGAACATTACGACTATGGGGTTTCCGATTATGTGCTTCGACATGGTGTGCTATGATAGTGAACGACAGAAAGACTACGAATTTCACGACACTTGAATATTTCGCCTCAAAAGAAACTACGGATGTGTTCTCGTCTTCTCGAGGATGCCACCGCCATCTGTCGCCGTCCCAAAAATGCCTATTCTTCATCTGAGAGCAAGGGAATGTGTTTTCAGTTGTTTGCATTTCTTTTCCCCCCATCAGTAGTAGTGACATCCTATCGGCTACCACCACCAACAGACTCCTGGCGCTTTGGCTCAGGTAAATTGGACTATGGCAGTTCTCGGGTAGCCCAAACCCCATACCGCCACCACCATCATCCTCATCTCCACTCGATGTTAAAAGTGCTCGGGGGGTCCCGTTGGTTATTGACGCTGCACACGGCTTGAACAAAACACACACATACTAAACAGCACAAAGAAGAGCTCTGTATTAAATGCAGTAGTAACATACGACAAGCGCGGTAACAGTAGCGTCCGTTACGGGCTTCCTGGGAGCCGCGGTGATGTGCAGTAAGGTTTGGGATCTGCCTGGTGTCCGATTCCTCTCTCAACAAAAAGGTACCTCTGTGTGAGCTGCTACTCGAACGACCAGATCTCAATATCCTGCACGAAGAAATCCTCCTTCGCAGAGAGCATGGGATTCCCGAAGGTTTTGCATGAATGACTCCTACCGTGATAAAGATCCCCGTCCAGCCAAAGTCCAAACTCACCACTGAAAGAGAAGAAAACAGTCTCTAATCAAACCTTCGTTCTCTTGTAAGACACGCTTAAGAACAGTGCAAAACACTCTATAGAAGTACTTGGATACAAATCCTTCACAAACTTCATTTTTATCTGATATGCCACAACGCAATTGATAATAGCTAATGAGCCGTAACTGACGAAAATAACCGTAATTTTTACCCATTCGGTCAAATATTGCGCTGCAAAGAGCAATACTAGTTTTAACTTGTCTAAAACTTGGCAAATGACCAAGGAATAAGCGGGATGATCAATGGCTTGCCGTGCATTAAAGGATTTTAAATGCACTTTTGCTTCGCGTCGGGTGGTTCTTTGCCTCCACGTCGTGCATTTAAAATCCTTTTCGCATTTAAATGGATCCCTTACATACACCATTGCTGAAAAGTTTGGAATCAGTAAGATTTTTTTTTTTTTTACATTTTCATTCAGCAAAGATGCATTAGATTGATCAAAAGTAACAGAAAAATTAAATAAAATTTGAAAGTGTTTTAAAAAGATTTCTATTTGAAAAAATGGCTGTATTTATAAAAAAAATATTAATTAAAGAATAAATGTATCACGGTTTCCACAAAAATATGGAGCAGCACAACCGTATTTAACATTGATAATAATAAATGTTTCTTGAGCAGCAAATCAGCATATTAGAATGATTTCTGAAGGATCATGTGACACAATATATATTAAAATAGAATACAGTTATTTTAAGTTATAGTAATATTTCACAAAAACATTATCAAATCAAATTATATTTTAATCAAATGTTGAACAAATGCAGCTTTGGTGAGTATAGGAGACATCTTCCACAAAACCATTCAAAAATCATAAAGACCCCAAACTTTTCAAAACTTTTCTTAAAATAAGCAGCAATAGTGTGCATTAGTATAAAGTGTCACCAGCTACTGGCAGTTTTCTGTTTCAAATCAACTGACATGGAAAACGCTTTGAAAAAGAAAATTGCTGATCAAGTTTGTTAAACAGCATTTTTATAGCTAGCTACCTGAACACATCCAGTCTAAACGGCACAGACACTTGAAACAAACACTCTTACCCCTTCAGCACTGAGAAAAAAAACTTGCATATTTAGTATGTGTAAAGACAAGAGACAATGAGCGTGCAATGTGCGGGCCAAACTTTCACATTTACATTTGCATACTCATTTTTGTCTTACACAAACATGCCTAGTGAAAATCAGCATTCAAAACATTATAACTGGTGTTAAACAGCCCCTGAGTCACTGACCTTCCTCCTCCAAAGGCTAAAGAGTCCATGTCTCCTTTAATGAAGAACAGATTATCACCAGTCCATTTGTACGCCTGCCAGTGAGAATAAACAGCATTTTAGAACAAGAAAACTCAGTAAATCCTATAATGAATTTTGCACATGAAAGTCTTTATGAAAATGCCAAATGACACAAGATCAGAATTCATTTCAAACGGATGGCTTATACTGCCTGTAATGAAAATTCATAGATAAACTGAACACAAACCTCAAACTCTGGATAAAAGGTGAACAGGAAAGTCTCTCCTGTGCCGTAGAAACCCTCACTGACTTTGAAGGGTTCTGATGCCAAAGCCCCAAATATCTGCAAAGAGCACAGAGACCAGATCAGATTAAGAAACTCTGAACCAAAATCTTTACAGTGTTTCTGGTCACATGACATATGAGAGCTCTTGACTTTGGTGATTTAATACTGTTGTATTTTTCTAATCCTGTGTCAAGGTCTGAAACCAAGGTCTTGTGAGAGATAAAGAGAAGAGTGTGACCTGTCCATCACTGTCTTTGATGACCAGCAGCATGGGAGAGTCCTGATCCTGCATGGCCCGGTACAGCGTCTTAATGCTCATGCCGTGTTTAGAAGTGCTGAAGGCCAGATTCCAGTGGTAACCGATGGTTCTGGGTGGGAGATGCTTTGCCAGCTGAGTGAAAAACAGGGACTAAGTCAGGGATAATGCATGACTAGGTGTGATTTTATGATTTTAGTGCATGACATATAGGCAAAGAACCTTATTATAGTTAAGTCAAATTAAAACTATTAAAGCATTTACTGAAATAAAGCTGAAATAAAATGCACTGTAAATACTAGATGAACTTCCACTACAAAAATGAGAAATGTTAAAGGTCACATATTTTACACCTTTCTGGAGTTTTATTTTAAGTCTTGATGTCCTTAAGAATATATATTTGCGGTATAAGTACCAAAAACCATCTCAATATATTTTTTATCATAATCAGAGACTCTCGGTGTTCTTTGATGTGAATTGAAATTACATTTAATTTTTTGCAGTTATTATATAAAATATAAAAGTTAATTCAAAATATTATTAAAAACTATAATAGTATATAAATAATGCTAAAAATAATATTGCCGTAGACTTTGGAGCTTTGGAGTATCCTGCTTACACTATGTTCACTTGTCAGCACGGACAAGCTTTCATCGATATTTGACGCCAAAAATTTGACAATAGATATACATAAATGTCAGATCTGGAATTCAGAAATAAATTAAAGTATCATGGTAACATTACATATATTTGAATAAATAATGAGTATAATTACTTTAAAAACAGTATTGTTACCACTTTGTGGCTGAGAAATTTATTGTAGCATTTTGTAGCAAAGCTACTTTATTGATAAAAGTCGTGGGACAGCATTGACAAGTTTCTGTGCTCCTGAATAATTGTAATACTTTGAAGTAATCTGTAAATAAAAATAAAGAAAAATTGGAAACCAGGAGAACATGACTTACGAACGCAGCAGTATGAAGGTGGAGAACGAATGATAGATGTGTGCAAAATCAGAGCAGCAGAAAGGGCGAAACATTAAAAGCCCAATTACAGTAGCACTGACCTTTTCACACCAGTAGACACAGAGAAGCTGAACACCACACACACACACACACATAGTATAATTACTTTAAAAACAGTATTGTTACCACTTTGTGGCTGAGAAATTTATTGTAGCATTTTGTAGCAAAGCTACTTTATTGATAAAAGTCGTGGGACAGCATTGACAAGTTTCTGTGCTCCTGAATAATTGTAATACTTTGATGTAATCTGTAAATAAAAATAAAGAAAAATTGGAAACCAGGAGAACATGACTTACGAACGCAGCAGTATGAAGGTGGAGAACGAATGATAGATGTGTGCAAAATCAGAGCAGCAGAAAGGGCGAAACATTAAAAGCCCAATTACAGTAGCACTGACCTTTTCACACCAGTAGACACAGACAAGCTGAACACCACACACACACACACATATATATATATATACAGTACATACATATATAGCGGGTGGCACATGCTGTGTTTCCTCGACACATGTTTGTGTGCAGTGCTCTGGCAGGTCCAGGCTTTCCCAGCGCTTGGGGAGCATTGACTTACTCTGCGTAATGACACGAGTTTATTTGATTTACCAATAAAATGGGCCTACGTCTGAATAAAGTGTTCTGCGAGAGGCCACCTCAGGTGATCCATTCACAGAGCGCTGATGCGTTTGAAAGGCGCACACCCGCAGGGCGCAATGACTTAAACCTCATAACCGCACAAAACCTCTGAAGCTTCACTACAAAACACATCGCAAATAGCACAGTAAGATCAGATCAAAAGATCAGGACGTCATGTACAAATTTTACGACAAAGTCTCTGACAACTGCAGCATTCATTAAACGACAGCCAAAAGAGTATGAACACAGTCATGCTATCTTTCTGGATGAGATTAAAATTGGTCTGTTTCAGTGTTATTTTAGTATCATTTAGATACTATTATAGTGTTCATTAATTTAGAATGACCTTTTATTTTTATATTTACTACGAAAATATTCTATATTTCAAAGTTTAGTAATTTTGTTATGTGCTTTTGTCATGTTTGGATTTTACAAAAAATATTTTTTTTATATAGCTTCTATATAGCTTTAAATGTTACATTTTTATTCAATCGTATGGCTTCAGAACACTTGGGCACAGTCATATGTAAGGTTGAAATCATAAGGAAAAAAATATGGTTCTGAATCCACACAACAATTCCCTGTTGAACGATTTATTTAAAAGAACTGACTTAAGACGAGTCATTTGTTTGTGATTCAGACTGAATCAGAATCATTTCTCACTACAAGCCCACAACTAAAAAAAAATAAAATAAACAAACATAAATAAAATCTTTTGCTGATTTAGATTCAACATCATGCAGCATTAATATTAAATAATATTTTAAAGGAGACATATTATGCCCCTTTTTACAATATGTAATATACGTCTCTGGTGTACCCAGAAGGTGTCTGTGAGGTTTCAGCTCAAAATACTCCACAGATCATTTATAATATCATTTTGAAAATGCCTATTTTGAGTGGAAGCAGAAACGCGCTGTTTTTCGGGCCTGTCTCTTTAAATGCAAATGAGCTGCTGCTCCCCGCCCCCTTTTCCAGAATAGAGCTGCGCCATTACAGCTCGGACCTACTAAAACATCTGTTTTGGTTCTGATTATAATGTTTATCGCGCTGAAGTCATGCGTTTTAAACCATATGAGTTTAAAGTTCTGATATACGGTTTTCTGAGTTCACACATCCAAAGCACACGGACAGAAAGCGGCTGTCACAGCATGTGAGTACTAAACTAAGTTCTCATTCACACACAAGTTTACGCTAAAAACACACATGAGTTACAAAAACAGTCGGTTATGTCTGTGAAGGTAAACAGCTGGGAAATCAATCGCATATTTATTTTAGATCTGTGTGGCAGCAGCAGCAATATACAGTAGCTTAAATAAATCAATAAATCCACTGCTCTCTTGTCTCCTCTGAGGCTGGGACTCTAAATAGTGTTCTGTGCTCGTCTGTGCAGTCAAAGACAGAACAGTTAGCATGTTTTGCTCAAACTTTCACCATGGCATTAGAGCTGGTCTCTTGCGAAAACATAATAATGGCGCTGTGGGTGTAAATTTACAGATTAAGGAGCGGTAATTTTATAATGAGATCCCTTTGTCACGTCACCAAGGGAGCGAAATCAGACGCTTGCAGAGAAAGGCTTCCCAAAACAAAGTTACTGGGTTTATCTTTTTCACATTTCCTTGGTTGGTAGATGCACCTTGGACCTGATTATAGCACTTAAAACCTGGAAAAGTATATATATATATTTAGAAATATATATTTATTTTTTTAAATTAGCAAAACTTGTATCTTTAGGGATACTACAGCTTAAAGCCTAAAGGGTACATTTTAGGAATGGAATTTTCCTTAAATGGAAAATAGTAAGCATGAACATTCTGCTCAGGTTCATGGAAGAAAGAAAATCATATCAGTTTCGAATGACATGAGGGTGAGTAATCATTTATGGGTCAAGAACAGTCACCTTCACTTTTCAAATCATTCCTATGCCCTTGGCCATTACATGACGAGTGTGAATAAATCTGTCTGTTAACATGTCTGAGAATCAATAACCAGTGAACAGTGAGGAGGGCTACCTATTTTTGGACCAGCGGATCGATGAAACACTGTAAAGCCCGGAGCAGTGGGCAGATTTATTTCATTGCCGCGTCACTGCACGCTTACCTTCTCGATCTGCTCAGCCTTCAGAAGGTCACTGGGTTCGTTCAGGTTGGGCTTAAAAGTCTCTGGCTCCAGGCTGGCGGTGATGGACGTGCCATGTTTGGAGTTTACATCCTCCTTTGTGGTGATCTAAAGACAGAAGACGCCATTAGCAAGCTATCTAGTGACATTCTGATTTAAGCCACATAAACCAGAGACTATAACAAAGAATGACTGTAGATCTTCCTTCAAATTGACCTATAAACTCACGCAGCAGGGATTTGGTGTTCAAAACATTTGTGGAAGTGAGGCTGCATAGATTTAACATGTAAATTCAACTTGAGCAGAAGTTGAGCTGATTTAACTCTGGTGGAATTCACCTATGGGGACAAACTAACCTGAGAAGACAAACTAATCCCGCAGGAAATGTTTTGGCTAGGCTATATGGGATACTTTATTAATAAAAAATACTTCTTGTGCATTATTTCCCAAAATCAGTGGCTCTCAACCAGTGGAAACTGTCAAGTTTTCCAATTCAGCTTGTCATGTTAATAATTAAGCTTGTTGTTCTGACAATGCAGTTAATGGTTATATTAATAAACTTCATTTTATGAGATCAAGGATTCTTGTTGCTCAAACATTATGCATGGTGTTAGCAACACAAGTTAATGAGTTCAATTCCTAGAAAAGAGAATGCATGAACTTAATGCAGTGTAAGTTGCATTGGATAGAAGCATCTGCTAAATGCATAAATGTAATGTAAGGACATTTTTGTTCACTTTCATAAGCAATTTTAGTGCTATGTTGGATCGCCACTTTTGACGTCCAATGTCGAATCTGGTTTCTGAAGCACTTCTCTAAAGCCTGTTACATCAGGACCTGTGGTGTTATTTTACAATGTAGTGCCACAGACAGTTAACATTCCCTTTTTTGGCCTGAACACACTCAGGTTACACTGGCCGTGCTTCAATTACATTAATTGTTTACAACAAATAACCGGGCAGCAGTCAATGCAGGCCTCGACCCAAACACCCGCCTGAACCTCAGAACATTCTGGACATGGAAATACAACCCACTTTCTCAGGCATGGCTTTCAGAAAATTCTTCATTTCATTCAGGTCCTAAGGGGATACAACTGCTTGGAATTTCCATTAACAGTCCTTTTTATCAGTAATTTTGCAGGGATATATACACCACCACTCAAAGTTTGGGGCAGGCAAGATTTTTACTTTTTTTAAAAAAAAGAAGTCTCTTATGCTCAGCAAGGCTGCATTTATTTGATCAAGAATACAGTAAAAATGGCAATACTGTGAAATATTATTACAATTGAAGAAGTTTTCTTTTCCAATATATTTTAAAATATAATTTATTCCTGTGATGCAAAGCTGAATTTTCAGCATCATTACTCCAGTCTTCTGTCACATGATCCTTCAGAAATCATTCTAATATACTGATTCAGTGCTCAATATTTTTTTTTTATTATTATCAAAGTTGAACACAGCTGTGCTGCTTAATATTTTTTTAAAACTACTATACATTTTTTTCAGGATTCTTCAATGAATCAATTATTTATTTGAAATGGAAATCTTTTGTAACATTATAATTTTACACTTTTGATCAACAGAATGCATCCTTGATTAATAAATGCATTCAATTCTTTACAAAAATATATTACTGACCGCTAACTTTTGAAGGGTAATACTGTTACTATACATATCACTTTAAGGGCTACACTTTATATAGGAAATTATGGAATTTTCAGAACAAACATTCATCAGCAAGGCAAGTGCAATCTACAAATCCTAGAGCTACATCGGCAGGGTTCTACAGATTTTGTGCACCTGGAGGCGTTTGCATAGGGAGCGCAGATCTTCACTGTTTAACGCATCGATCCGGCGGTGGTACTCAGTCCATGACACTACCTGCTCCAGAGACAAGGGGACACAACCACACCGCTGAGCAGGACGACAGGATGAGGCCAAAATATGGACAAGAATGTGCAGTTTGGGACTCTTTTAATACAAGATGTCAACTACTAAAATTGCAGCCAGAAATGATTGTCTTTATGAGATATGGAAGAGATGAGTATAAGATTGAAAGCCAAGATCATGTCATTATATACTGTATGTGAAGCTATAGTACAAATGTGAGCAGACAACACAGCGTGTGTTTTGCATGATTGTGTGAATTGTTTTGCACGAAGCTCTGCAGACAGATATGAGAACCATATTCATAATAGCTAACATAAGCCATAGCAGAGCCACATAGAAATCACAAATAAAAAAAATATTCTGCTATTATTTTCTCACCCTCATGTTCAACATCATCCATCTTACCACTTTAATAAAATCAAACTCACATCTTAGTCATTATGCAAGAAAACTACTTTCAGCTGCCTTTGAATTTTTTACTGCATTTATTCTTATGTAAATATCAGTCCTTACCTGTCACACATTTTAACAGCTTGTTGGTTGCCACACCTATGTGACATGTTTGATAACACATTAAACACATGACCTACTACCACATGAAAACATAGTTCACCAAAAACTAAACTTTTGTCGTAATTTACCCATGCTAGTACAAGTTCGTACTCAACCTGTATGTCTTTCTTCTATGTAAAGATTCATTTCTGACGAATACCCAAGTCAACTCTTTCAGTGTAATGAAAGTGAACGGACACTAGGATTTCAAAGTGTTAAAAAGTACAACAAAAGTATTATGAACAATACAATACAGTAAAAGTCTTCTGAAGCCATACTTTCACGTAATAACCATAAGTCGTTAATTTGAACACTATTGAGTTGAAATCGTTCACGGATCAGACTTGTTTTGTGAAATAGAACCGATTCATTGAAAAGATCCACGTCACAAGAATGAATCACTCAAGAATCAGACACTAGAGCAGATTTTTTTTTTTAAATCTTACATTTTTGTCTGTACCCCACACAAATTTATCGTATGGCTTCATACATTGTGTCTTGCTATTTTGCGCCCGTATTTAGCTTATGTCCAGTTACTATTTATCTTCATTATATAGAAACTAGGGATGCTCCGATCCGCCTTTTTCGCCTCCGATACCGATTCCGATACCTAGGGTTTAGTATTAGCAGATACCGATACCGATCCGATACCAGTGAAGTTTTTTCCCCTCATTTAAATAAATATAGAATTTATATATCTCTGTGTGTGGAAATTATTCTTCATTCTTTCACAATATACTAGATACAGACTACTTCATTATAAAGAAAAATCAAATAAACAATAAATCAGAAAAAATATAGGCCTATGTATATTTATAATCTATGACAAAAATGTATCATAAACTAGGTTAGTGGATAATTTGGCAGCATAAGTTATTCTAGAAAAATCAGTGCACAATAATTGTAGAAATCCAAACATTTAGTGAAAAAAACAATATTGTGTGGGGAACAAATAAAAGTGTTGCACTAAATATGGTAAAATGTTACAAATTGCTATTTGTATTATTATAAAATCCATTCATTAAAAACATTCATGAATGTATTTATATATAAGTATATACTATAAAATTAAAATAAATTTATTTTAAATCTATAGCATATTTTTAAATAAAGCAACAACATATGATAGATACGATAGGACAAAACAAATACAGTGCAGCACGAACGTCTCGGTTACGTATGGTAACCCTGGTTCCCTGAAGGAGGGAACGAAACGTCACGTCAGATGACCGACGAATTGGGATCTCGCTTAGAGAGACCAATCTACTTCGAGTGTAAACTAAACGAGCCAATGCATGCGATTATTGCATCCAGCTGCCGCTGATCACAGCGTGAGTATAAGTAGGCAGCAGATGCAGCGCATATTCAGGTTTTCGCTGAGGAGCCGAGCCAGTGACCCGGCCGC